ACTCAAAATCAGATGAATCTATATTCCTTGGATATGCTGTTAACAGCAGGGCTTATCGTGTGTTTAATAAACGGACCCTCAAGGTTGAGGAGTCCGTTCATGTGATATTTGATGAAATATTGACTAAGTGTGCAGAAAGTGTCGATGAGGATGATGATTTAGGGTTGGGAACAGTTCACACAAGTCATGAAGCTTCTGAGGTTCAGGAAGCAGAAGCTATGCCTGCAGATGAAGGTGGCAGAATGAAAGAAAAGGACAGCAACCCTCAGGCACCAGCTCATATAGTTCGATGACATCCCCCATCTCTAGTCATTGGAGACCCCAGTCGAGGTATGCTTACTCGTTCTAAGTCTTATGCTGAGCACACTGCCTTTGTAGCTCAATTTGAACCTAAATTCATAAATGATGCAATAAATGATGAGTACTGGTCAGCAGCTATGCATGATGAAATGAACCAGTTTGCCAGGACTCATGTTTGGGACTTAGTCCCTAGACCTAAGGACAGAATAATCATTGGAAGCAAATGGATTTTTCGAAATAAAACTGATGAACTTGGAATCATAATTAGAAACAAAGCTAGGTTAGTAGCTCAAGGCTATTGTCAGGAGGAAGGGGTCGATTTTGAAGAAACATTTGCCCCTGTAGCAAGGTTAGAAGCCATACGTCTCTTATGTGCCTTTGCTGCCTCTAAAGGTTTCAAGCTGTTTCAAATGGACGTAAAAAGTGCCTTTCTAAATGGTGAAATAAAAGAAGAAGTGTATGTCTCTCAACCTCCTGGGTTTGAGGACTCAGAACACCCTGAATACGTGTTTAAACTGAATAAGGCCTTGTATGGACTCAAGCAGGCTCCTAGAGCCTGGTATGAGAAGCTAAGTAATTTCTTGATTGAGAAGGGTTTTCATCGTGGACAAGTTCACAAAACTCGGTTCATTAAAACTGAAAATGAAGACACATTGCTTGTTCAAGTCTATGTCGACGACATAATCTTTGGATCTACGAGTCAAAAATTATGTTCTGAGTTCAAAAATGATATGAAGAATGCCTTTGAAATGAGTCTTATGGGGGAATTAACATACTTCCTTGGATTACAAGTAAAACAAACCAGTCAGGGGATCTTCATCAGTCAGTCAAAATACTTACAGAACATGTTAAAACGTTTTGATCTCAACAATCTAAAAGCAGCTTCGACCCCCATGGGATCTTCTGTTAAACTGACATCTGATGAATCTGGAAAATCAGTAGACTGTAAGAAATTTCGTGGAATGATTGGCTCTCTCTTATATCTCAGTGCGAGTCGGCCTGATATTATGCATAGTGTATGTGTGTGTGTGCACGATTTCAGGGTAATCCAAAGGAGAGTCATTTCTCTGCCATTAAACGAATTTTTCGTTATCTAGTAGGGACTCCCTCTCTAGGTCTCTGGTACTCCAGCTCATCCAGTTTAGATCTGATTAGCTACAGTGATTCTGATTATGCTGGATGTGTAGTTGATAGGAAGAGCACCTCAGGTGCTTGTCATTTCCTAGGTTCCTCTCATGTGTCATGGTTCTGTAAAAAGCAAAGCTCAGTGGCTTTATCCACAGCTGAAGCAGAGTATATTGCTGCTGGCTTTTGCTGTACTCAAGTCTTGTGGATGAAATACCAGCTTGAAGACTATGGTCTTAAGTTAGGTTCTCTTCCTATCCTGTGTGATAACACCAGCGCAATTAACATGACCAAAAACCCAGTCCAACACTCTCGAACCAAGCATATAGAGGTTCATTATCATTTTATTCGAGACTTGGTTCAGGAAGGAAAAATACACTTAGAGTTTGTGGGTACTGATTCCTAATGGGCTGACATATTCACCAAACCCCTGCCCATTGATAAATTCTTACCCATTAGACGCGAACTTGGCATGTTTACTCTAGAAGAAATATTGGAAACCCCTTAAGATTCTGTGACTTCTCAATTTCCTTAAATCCTTCTAAAGAGTGTCCATTAAGTCACTGTCTCGGATAATCAGCAGTCATCTACTAGATATCCAATGGATACTTAAATCAAGAATGATTCACTTACCTTACCCATTCTTGTAGAGACTCTATAAACTCAGAAGTTTCCTCATCATCAAACCCTACTCTCAAAATAACATACCCCACAGACCTCTCTCACAACTCACCATGGCCTTCAACAATGCTCAGCTCCGCCCTGTTGTGGTATTCAAAAATCAAGGCTTTCGCAACGCCATAGTGTACTCAAGGTACCTTCGTTGCTTCCGTGATCGTCCCATCTACCTATCCTTTACCATCTGTCCTTCAGCCTTTTCCAAATACGACATGGACATTCCCTCCCTGGTTGCTGGATTAGGGTGGGAATCGTTGACTGAGGATCAACGGTTTCTCCATTGTCCTGAAGCAGTAAGGCTTTTCTACGTCAATATTCGTCGTGATAGTGGACCTGAGCCACAGTCTTTCACAACCATGGTCTATGACCATGAAATCACTGTCACTCCTGCCTTACTTGCATCGGTCCTCTCTCTACCTCACTCTGGGATTCTTGCCAGCTACGAGAGTGACTTTGTTGAACATGGGTTCGACTTCTGTGCTGCTCTTGACCAAGTAACACGGGACATTGGCAAGGCCTTCCCCAATCGACTCTCAGCTGGTCGACTTCCTGACGATCTAAAGGTCCTTCATTTCTTCATCACACGATGCTTCCTTCCAAGAGACGTTAATAGTGCTGGTCTTCTCCACTCTGACGATCTCTGGATTCTGAGTAATGCTTGTGCGCATCAACCTATCAGTTATGCATCTTTGATGTTTGCTCATATACTCAAGTTCGGTGGTGGTGGCTACAGTGGTGCTCTACCCTTTGGACCTCTCATCACTCGTTACTTGCATCGCCTAGGCATAGATCTCCGGGATAAGGTGGCTGTTTGCAACATCCATGATGATTTGCGTCCCAATCATGTTCTTGTTCGCCTTGATGCCAACGTTGGCCGCCGTAAGCTCGTCTCTGGCTCAGGGGGAAACACAGCTCACTGCCCCATTTTCTCTGCTGCTGATCCCATCTCTGACAATCTACTTCCAGCTTTAACTCAAGCTGCTGTCACAGCCATAGATGGTGAAGTCAAACGAAGAAGGGAAACTGGTAGTGGAAAAATTACTAGTCTTTTGGTATGCAAAGAACGTTTGGAACTCATGGAATTTGATGAAGCAAGGCCTGCTCCAGACGACTTTGATCCAATTACTCCTGACTCAAGCTCTGATGATGAGATATCAGACTATGAGTCACCTCCTGGTTATCCCTTCTAGAGATTCGATGGTGGTACTTAGGGGGAGTCACAAGTTATGACTAGGGAAGTCTTGTAGTTCGTTTAAGTCTGTGTTTGAATGGTGTCAGTGTCGAGTTGGTTTTCCAGTTGATTGATTGTTGATTTGAATTTCGAAACATGTATTTCGGTTGAACTGATTAATCAAGAATAAAAACTTCCCTTGTCACTCTTGGTAGCACTTTACATAGAACAGACTGCACCAATAGTTTGTTGAGTGTGTGCAGGAAAGAAACTAGTGCAGTAGGAAGAGCCATTGACAAGCTTAGGGGGAGCATGTTAAGGGAAGCTCGTCAATAGGGAAAGAATCAACAAATCAAATCAAGACCAAGATGGAAAGTCTCAAAGAAGGAAACCTGGAGCTAAATTGCAGCAATTCAAACCTCAATCAGACAACGACTATCTTGAAGAGAGCAGACTATATAACCACGAGGTTGAGCAATGTAGAGAGTATAGTTTTCCGGCAAATCAAAAGAACAGAGTGCTTAGTGAAAAGTGGTGAACTTTTGATAGAAAACTCGGTTAGCTAATCGGAGAGAATAGCTAGAGGCTCTGAGTGAACAATCAGGGAGATTAGATCTCAGCATTGAAGTTAGGTTGATAGGCAGGGAGCTGATCATCCTGAACTGTGCCATTGTAATCACGATCAAGGAAACGATCTAGTAGATTTGTAGGAATCCTCAAGAAGAGAGATTCCTACCGTGGATTAGTCGATATTGGGATCCTTCTTCTCCCAATATCGGATACCACGTAAAAACTGTTGTGCTGTGCCTGTGTTCTTCATTTTCGAGCTTTGGTTTATTCTCTGCTTGTGTGTTTGATCACTGTGTTCAGATACAGGGTAGTCTTCGAAGCAGGGAGGTGAGCTCGATTAAAGGAGAGAACCAATCAGCAGGCCTCGAAAGTTTATTCGGAGGCCAAGCCCAGTTTACTTGTGAATAAACGAGTGGGCTCCAAGCCCAAAATTGTTGCAGATAATTATATGTCTATTTTGGCTTAATTGCTAGTTATTTCAATTTTCATTTCTTGCACAAAATCGTAACTCAAACCATAGAACTGCATTTCTTCACTTGTTCAGCAACTGTGTCGATTAGGGTTTTGTAGGAACTCGATTTCTTCTGTTCAAGCGGAGAAAGAGGCAGTAGGTCTCGCGCTCGACCCACTCACAATATCTGTCTTTCATGCTGCAACATATGTTGAAAGACTCTGTTGATGTTGGGTAGTTCATCACCAAACAGAACTTGGCTCTGACCCCAGAGAAGTTCTCATTTAAAACACGAAGGAATTTGATAACATAACTAGTCTCTTGATATTGTAAAACCCTTATCATGGCAACACAATCATTATGACTAGTGGGGGTGCAGGAACATGGTAAGAAAGATTGATAATTCTCTAGTTCATCCCTAAGAGTAATTACACCATCATAAACTCGAGTTCAATTTCAATTTAGCCGTATCAAAGTTGTAAATTGTTTCATTACCTCCGCAATTCACACCATACAGTGATTTGTTTTTGTTATAGTCGGGTTTTACCTTATAAGAAAGAGAACTCAAACGCTGGTTAAACCATAAATTTGGGGCAAATAATTTGCCTCGCCCCTCCGACATGTAAGGGACACCTTGAAATTAATGTTATTATTATTCACTTTTTCATTTATAAACAGAAATTTAACCCACATCTTCTCTCTTTTTTTCTCCTTTAGGCCTGGACGAAATTCTCTCTCATTTCCTTTGGAGAGAAAATTACATCTTCTACACTCCTTTAAATGTCTCCTTTGTGATTTAAACAATTGATTTTCCACCCAAACTTACACATTTGTGCAAAAATAATTTCTTGACACATAAATACCTAAAACCATAAGAGAAGAAGGCACCACAAGGATTTGAAGAAGGGAGAAAGGAAAACATGAATGGAAAGGCATCGGTCTCCAAAGACCTTAACGAGAAACATATCAAGGTACCGATTTTCTTAGGGTTTTAGGATTACTTTGCTTGGACCAACATGTTGTTAATTAATTACCATGAACTTTTTGTTTTTCACTTATGAAATTGAAATGCCAATCCAAAGCATAAAGTTTCATGGTTTCCTAGAAAGTGTTTCATCGTGTATCATTGTGATATTAATTACTTGATTCAAAATTAATCAATTTGAAGTTAAAGGGTAACTAATTGCAATAATGGCAATCTTTTCACATAACTGTACAGGAATTATCCACTGTCTTGCTTATTATGCAGGTATTAGAAGGCCTTGTCAAACTACCACATAATAAACAATGTGCTGATTGTCATAACAAGTAATTATTCTTCAAAATCCACCATATGTATAACATTTGTGATGTTTTTTAATTTTCTTTTCACAATTATATGGTCTAATATATAATTTTTCTTTATGAATCCATCTTCCTGATAATAATGATGACTAAATAAACCCGTTACATAATATATAATTTCAGAGCACCAAGATGGGCAAGTGTGAACCTGGGAATATTTATATGCATGCAATGCTCAGGAATTCATCGGAGTCTTGGGGTTCATATTTCACAGGTAATTGATTTGCTAGCTCCTCTACGGTTTTTTACGTATATATCGGCACTGCCTGTTGAGAAAATAGAACATGAATAACATAACTAATTAAGTTTCTGAATATGTATAATGGTTGCCTGCTGCAAGAACAGGTGAGATCAATAACGTTGGACACATGGTTGCCGGAGCATGTTGCTCTTATGCAATGTGAGAACTTCTCTAGCTAGCAACCTATTTCATTCCCTCTTCTTGTTTGACTTCAGAATCATGTTGTTAGTACTATATTGAAACATGATCATGAGTTGTCTCGTAATAAAAATATATGTTGTTATAATGGCATCTTCTCAATTTTTACTCTTGTTCCTAATATAATATTTATCTCGATCGTTACATTAATTGTTTAGTAGAGAAGACGATTTGAATTGGTTTTGTTGAAATATACTCCGCCATAGTACAACTTCAATTTGATTTGTGGACAGTGGTGCCAAGTAGCTAGTAACATTTTTGTTGACATCCATGCTTACTTCAGCGACCAATATCCTAACGAGTTGATCAAAACTTACGATTTCAAATCTCTGACATCATACATGTCAATCGTCATGTCAAAGTAGAAAATTTTCACCCCTTTTCTTTATTATTATTATTATTATTTATTTATTTTTTCCTAACCAGATGTAGGAAATGAGAGAGCCAACAAGTATTGGGAAGCAGAATTAACACGGTACTATGACAAAAGTGGGATTGAGAAATTTATCCATGACAAGTATGTATACAAGACTGTATTTTATGCAACATTCTTTTTACCAAATCTGATGATGATGGGGGAATTTGGAAGGTACGTGCAGAGGAAGTGGGCTTCAAAGAAACTGCCCCAACCAACTACTCAAGCTTTGGGTCGAGCCTTAGCAGATGACTTGACCCTGAAACCGGCCGAGAAGAGGGGAGAAACTACTCCCAGTAAAAACTCTGTGCCAAAGCTACCAAGGAGACATTCTCTTGACGCAGTCACTTTCACCAAGTACACGGTTGAGACTGACCACGCCCCTGCAGTAAAACCTCGTGCGGTAATTAATCTATCTTCCGTCACTAAACACGTATCCTTTGTTGTTAAGACATGCATGTTTTCATCATCATCAACATCAATGGCTGCAATCTATTTCTGTACTCTGTAGGCGTCGATGGATATGAAGAGTGACGTGATCCCGAAAGTGCAGCGTGACACAACGGTAAACATGAGTAACAATAATGCAAGTAATAGTACAGCAGATTTACTCAACATACTTCGTGATGATCAGGACAAGGACAAACAGAACTGCAGTCGGATCACAACTACTACTACTACTATTCCTTCTAATTGGGCGACGTTTGATTGATGAGTGATCACGTACACTTAAATCGCCATTTGCGAGCTGTATATTCTTTTCCCAGTGAAGTGCAATCTTCTGTATGTATAGTAAAGCGGAAGGCTATTCCTCATTCTCAAGCAACCACTACGTGAAGTTGTTGTTGTGTGGCTGACGCATGCATGCACGCTGGTATATGTGAATGGTACGTACGAATATCTGCGGTTACGTGTCTGGCCGGCCTTCAAGCTAAGCATCGAGAATTCTAAGAGATGGTGAAAGAACTCTTGAGCATCAATTTTACCATTTAATTAGCCTCTGTGAAAACCTTAGCGTGAAACCCCGGTGTTTTCCGGCGAGGAAAATCTTGTGTTTGAACACAATGAATGCACCTTTGACTTTTTGAACAACGATTAATAACACGGTTTACAACTCTCCGAACAATGTTCGAACGAGGGTGTTTGATGATTTAGATGGCTGATAAAACAAAGTTAAATTACTTCTACTCCTATGAAGGTTCAGTGAGAGCTCCAACAACTAAAAGCTACAACTATGGCTACATGGTAGAGAAAAAGATAGAGTTTGACATGTGTTGTCAAATGTTTGGTTGTGGAACCTTTTTCCCATCTTCGTTTCTTCTATTTATAGCCACTGGGTGTAACTGCCTTGGTTACCGCCATAGTAACTGCTAGCTAGCCTTTTGCTCCAACCGCCTTAGGGGCCGCTTGTCGTTGCCTTGGTGACTAGTTGGTAACCGTCGCCTTGGGGGCCTCGTCCCGTCTTGGGGCTGGTTGGTACTTGATGGTCTCGATGTTGGGCCGGGTTGGTGTTAAGCCTTGTCGCCCTGTCATGACTGGATGGGGTTGAGGTTATTTGCCTTAGCCTCCATGAAGAAGTTTTAATCGCACCCTCTGCTGCTTAATGACTTCCCACTCTTGTCGTCTTGAGACCGCTACCATCTCATGACACCAAGTCCTCCTCATTAACTTGTTGGTTGTTACCAAGCCATCTCATTTGCTTGATAACTTCCGGCAATGCCACCAAGACCATGTAATCAACTTGACACCCCTTGCTACCAAGCCAGTCCTGGTGGTTTGGTCTCCATATTTAGTTTTTGTAGCTTCATCAAGTGGTAAGTTACACCCTGCCGGTTTGGTACCCCGTGAAGGTGCTACCAAGCCCGTCTTTGGACCTTTTCTCCATATGGCCTCATAAGGCTGAGCTCGGCATCCTGGTCGATCCATCCATAGTTGGGTGGCCACCTCAGCAAGTCACCATGCCTTAGTCGAATTTCGACATCCGGTCATTTGGCACCCTGTTGTGTCACCTTGCTTCCAAGAGTTTTTGCATGACCTCCTATTTGGTACCCGGCTGTTTGGCATCCCGTTGTGTCACCTTGTTTCCAAGACTTAGCTTTTGGATGGCCTCCTATTTGGTACCCGGCTTGGTACCCGGCCGTTTGGCACCCCGTTGTGTCGCCTTGTTTCCCATTCTTAACCTTTGGATGGCCTCCTATTTGGTATCCGGCTTGGTACCCGACCGTTTGGCACCCCGTTGTGTCGCCTTGTTTCCAAGACTTAGTTTTTGTAGGCCAAATTTCATACTAAGGGGTGGAGGCATCGTCCGGCTATGGGGGCCTCGGAGACGGGTCGGCCATCGTATAGAGGAGAAGGGGGTTGGCCACTTAGGCCCCAAAATCTAACCCAACTAGGCCCAGCTGGCTATTTTAATCATTAATGTTGAGCTGGCCTTATAAATCCATTAATCCCCTTGTAATTAATCGATATGGTACAAGCTGATTTTTTATGGGTAAACAAATGTCCCCCACAACTTAGTGTATAAGAATTATGCACTAAGTTGTTGAACTCAACTTGACCACCTAAAAATAATACTTATCTCGGCACCACCTTCCTTAGCCAAATTTTTGGCTTTAATTACAAAGCCATGCATCCATAGCCTTTTATAGAATGCTAGGCCTCGACAGAAGAAAGTAAAACTTAACTAGCTCAATTTCCTTTCCATGTCATGGCTAGCTACTCAAGCCATACTTTATCACGAGGGTATCATGCCATGTCTTCGAGTGTGGGAGGTTTGGCATGCCGGCCACCATGGTGGCTGCCCAACATTGAACCCCTTGACACCTCACGTTCCAAAGACAAGGGACATAAGGCTTGAGATACTTGCCATTGATTAATCGATCATGTAGCATCCCATCCTCTTACGACAAGCATGCCTCCTTGGACGGGTGGCCTGGACAATAAAGGGTCTACACCGACAGCGAATCACCTGCTCATGCCATGTAAATGGTATGGATCCAGCCACCACATGAGCGTGGCTTATCAGTTATGACCAGGTTCTCACATCACAAATCTAACTAAAACTTGACACTTCGACCTCGTATTTTTTAGCCATGATTGGCTTTTGATTTTTCTTTTCTCTTATTTTTTTTACTAATATTATATTATATTATATTTATTTATTTATTTTAATATAGAAGAGTGTCACAAACGTCACTAATATCCATGCCCTTTGGCACCCACCAACGTGCCAAAGGTGTACAGCCACTGCCAAGTCCATGGGTTAAACCAGACCAACCATCCATACACTACTTGTCTTCCCTCCGTTAGGGGAAACAACTCATTCGGCGTTGGTTTCAAATTTTCCAACTTAACAATGGATGGCACCCTCTCAGCTTGCCCTGTCTTAGTGGGCTTGCAAGGGGTCCCATGATCCACTGCCTTGGCCACCTTGCTAGACATGTTGGGTTGATGTTGAACCCAATGTGTTTGTCTCGTCCTAGGTGGTGCACTAGACATTTTCAACTCCTTCGACTCATCAAAGGGGCCAAGAGTTGTCATCTGTCTTATTTTACCCCAACTAGGCACATGCTTACTCTTCTCATATGGTTGAGAAGACGGGTGTTTGGCAGAGTTGACGACCACCCTTGTCGCCAACTTGACTCTTTCTAAAACCCATGTCTTCATGGTTTTTGCACTTAACACATAACAACCCTTGATTCTTTATAAGACCATGATTGGTTGGTGTGTGTCGAGATGTCTTATTCATACCTTCTTGTTTTCCATTCATGTTTGGCATGCAATGAGGGGCTTTAGGCATGAACTTGCTTCCTCGTTCATCCCTTAATGACATCTCATACTTAGAAATTTTTTGAGTGGGTTGGGTGTGATGAACACTCGTAGACTTGTTCTCCACTCGTTTCTTCACTGTCGGTGACATGCCCCCCTTTCCACTAGTTGGAGACATGCCCCCCCCCCCCCCCCAATAGCCTCGTTCATGGTTTTTTACGTGCCCCCTTTGCCAAACTCAACTTCACTACCATTCTTACTACAAGCATGTGTGGCTTGGGTTTGTTGTGGCTTCTTGGGCATGTGTATCTTTCTATTGTTTGTGGTTGATGATATGCCCCCTTGTCGACCCTTCATGGGTGGCATGCTAGAAGGGGCCTTGCCTCCTTGTGCACTCTTTGAGACGTTGTCAAAGTTATGAAAATTATAGATGGCATGGGTAGGCAGCACCCACTTAGACTTGCCACTTACTCCATCCTTCATGTCTGATGACATGCCCCCCTGCCCACTGCATGGAGATGGAGATATGCCCCCCATGCCATCCTTAGGAAACAAATATGGTGTTCTGTTGGACACACCATTTTGTTCACCTTTCTTGACATCAACTTGCCCCCCAGCCTGACTCTTCATCTTCAACTTGTCAGGTGGTAGGCTTCCATTCACCTCTTCCTGCCACCCGGGTGGTTTGCATCTACCAGACCGTTTAAGCATCGATGGCAATGAGGTTGGGCAAACTTGTGGCAGCACATCCATAGCTAGTGACCCTCCACCAACTCTCATGTTCAAGAATGGTCTAGCCTCTGAGACAGTTTTTAGAGTAACTGTCTGCACAGGCGGCGGTTGCTTTACATGGGTGGTGAATGTGTTAGTAATATTTTTGTCATAACCTCCTTGTTGAAGAGGTGGTCGACTCATTGCCGGAGGCGGTAAGTTCCCTGATCGTGGCTGGGTAGTCCTGCCACCGGAGAACATGATACTTGTATACTCAATAGCAATACTTGGTGGCAGATCTGAAGCATTTTTTGGTAAAGAAATTTCTCGCACCACTGGTTCTATAAAATCTTTTTTAAACTCATCCAAACAATTTGTATTTTCTATAAGTGCTTCAAGCAATTCATCCAAACGTCTATCTAACATAGAACTAAAAGAAGCAAGTTTTAGACTTGTCTGTTGTGAACTTCTAACAAGTCCATTCAAACTCTCTTCCATTGATGACTCGATATTTGCACTTGTTTTCCCCTTTGTTTCTTGATCGTTTGAGCTTTAATTATCGCGTCTTTGGCCTATTTTATGCTAGGTTGTGTTCCTTTGTCACATTTCAGGTCCTAGCACATATAGTGAAGCATAGGCGCAAGTTTCAAGTCAATCAGAGATCAATTGGCGATTAGGGAGAAGAAACTCGGGCATGACCTGAAGAAGAATGGATTTATACCTCACTTTATGGACAAATAATCATGCAAGCTTGTCATGAAAAGAAAGATGACAAGACTACGAGCGTGTGAGATCAAACGACGACTGATTCGTAGTCCGGACGAGGGAGAAACGAAGCATTGAATATAGGGGAACATGTTCGGCAGTAAAAACACGGGCGCGCCTAAATCAAAACACGGTCGTGCTCATATTTAGGCATGACCGTGTTTTAGCCGACGCGCGCGGGCGTGTTTTTAACACGGGGCAAAGCACTGGTTGGCAAAACCAAAGCACGGCCGTGCCCTCGACCGTGTTTTGCCCAGAATCTGGTTTTTTAGCCCAAATTCGAGCCAAAGGAGGAGGAGAGCTGGGTTTTGGATCCCAAAACACCCAAGGGACGAACCAAAGAGAGAGAGGGCGATTTGAGGGCATTCTAAGAGTGGAATTGGAGGATTTCTTCACCTTTGAACCTCGAGAAACAAGACCGGACTTGAAGACTTATCATCTGAAGATTCTTACTGCAGTCTCTCTCTTCTTTATGGAGTAACTTCCCTTCACTTAGGTTTTGAGGAACCCTAGCTACGTTTGTTTGATTGGATGATTGTATGAGTACTTTGACTTGATAATCTTGAG